AATACTCTGTGCTTGGCTGATCTTGTCTGTTTTCATGCATCTTGCATTCATCTTTGAATGCTTAATGAATGAGTCTGGACTCACAATGATTCAGATCTATGCCCACTGCTAAGGTAAAGGCCAACGTCTCCCCGCTCCCCACCCACAACATTCCAAAAGTTGAGTGTTGTCTAACCAATAACCCTTCCTCGGAAGCAATTCTACACGCATCTGTACCCTGAGTATATAATTAAATCAGAGATGAGTTCAGCTAGTGAGAGCAGGAAGACATGCACAAACTCTTCAATCTAGGAATGTTTTTGGACCCTGTCATTGTATCCGCCCCCCAACCCCCGCCATGCTAATCTGTCCCACCGGGACTCCACAAACTCCATGACTCTAACTGTTCTCTGGCTGAAAATACATGACTTCTCTTCCTGAACAGTAGCTTTCCACTGCTCTCCCTTTACTGAAAGTCTCTGCAAACGATCACCAAATGAAAACAATTCCCAAGCCATTAGGTGAGAGGTTGAGCTAAGTGCCATTCAAGGCAGAATATCATTACTGAGAAAGGAAAATTAAAAAGAGTAGATTTTAGAATCAGAAAGACTGTCTATACAATTTACACACTGTGTGATCTTTGGCAGGTTACTTAACTTCTCTGAGCCCCAGTAGCTACATCTGTACAGTATGTGTAATAAAACCTGCCTTAGATGGTTGCTGTGAAGATTAGAGGTTGTTAGGAATATAACAGGCCCTAGCACAATGCCTGGAACATAGCAAGAGTTTGACAAATATCAATTCTCTTCTCCTTATAAGCGTGGAAGGTTCTGATTCTACTTGTCAACTAAAAACCAACAAAAGAAAACAAAAAGGATAAGGAAACATAAAAAGAATGTCCCTTAGACATAATCTCCTGATCTTCTTAAAGCAGAATCAAAATCAATTATAAACCTAATCATCTTGACTATTCATTTATTTACTCACTTAATGAGTTGTTTACTGAGCCCCTACTATGTGCCAGGTACTCTGCTAGGTGCTAGGATGCAAACTTGAGTAAGACACAGCCCCTAGGCTGACAGAGCTTAAACTCTAGTGGGCACAATTAATTTCTAATGTAGGATGCATTAGAAATTATAATTGCATTTTAGCCAGTCAAACATTGCCTTTAAATTTGTGTATCGTTATTAAAATTGGGGCATTTATGACCTAACTCCCCAAATAAACCATTAGCTAAGATAGAGCAAGACATTTTTATACCCTCCAAACTGTCAGTTAAGTGCCATGCATATGCCTCATTGCCGTCCAGTCGGTTCCTATTCATAGCAACCCTAGAGGACAGAGTAGAACTTCCCTATAGGGTTTCCAAGGCTATAATCTTTACAGAAGCAGATCTTTCTCCTGTGGATTGGCTTTTGGGTTCAAATGGCCAACTTTCAGTTAGAAGCCGAGCGCTTAACCACTGCACCACCAGGGCACCTTACCATATATATAGTAGGTGCTAAAGTTAAAAATACGTATATTTGAAGAGAGGCGTTGGGGTGAGAAAGGAAGTATTCTCTCCATTTTTACATTAACAAATAATCTTCCTCTGAATAAACACTTAAGGATGGTAAAGCTCTGGGGTCCTCGCAGCACAGCCACATTGTCACAGTGCCGATTTAAGAACATCATAAACAAAGTTTTCAAACCTCAGTTTTTCCCATCTGTAAAACAGACATCGTAGTACTTTTCCACCTTTATCAAGACCCATTCAAGAGCAGAGATAATGTTTTATCATCTTGTATTCTCTGTATTTAGCAATTTCTGTCACATAGTAATTCTGTCACAAGAGGTCATTAAAAAAGACAGGAAGAAAGAAAATACCAAAATGGATGTCAGGAGAAACTCTGAAACTTGCTCTTGAATGTCGAGTAGCTAAAGCAAATGGAAGAAATGATGAAGTAAAAGAGCTGAACAGAAGATTTCAAAGGGCAGCTCGAGAAGACAAAGTAAAGTATTATAATGACATCTGCGAAGACCTGGAGTTAGAAAACCAAAAGGGAAGAACATGCTCAGCATTTCTCAAGCTGAAAGAACTGAAGAAAAAATTCAAGCCTCAAGTTGCAATATTGAAGGATTCTATGGGGAAAATATTAAATGATGCAGGAAGCATCAAAAGAAGATGGAAGGAATACACAGAGTCACTATACCAAAAAGAATTGGTCAACGTTCAAACATTTCAGGAGGTAGCATAGGATCAGGAACTGATGGTACTGAAGGAAGAAGTCCAAGCTGCACTGAAGGCACTGGCGAAAAACAACCCTCCAGGAACTGACAGAATACCAACTGAGATGTTTCAACAAATGGATGAAGTACTGGAAATGCTCACTAGTCCATGCCAAGAAATTTGGAAGACAGCTACCTGGCCAACCAACTGGAAGAGATCCATATTTATGCCTATTTCAAAGAAAAGTGATCCAACTGAATGCAGAAACTATCGAACAATATTATCAATATCACACACACAAAAAATTTTGCTGAAGATCATTCAAAAGCAGCTGCAACCGTGTATCGACAGGAAACTGCCAGAAATTCAAGCCAAAATCAGAAGAGGATGTGGAACGAAGGATATCATTGCTAATATCAGATGGAGCCCGGCTGACAGCAGAGAATACCAGAAAGATGCTTACCTGTGTTTTATTGACTATGCAAAGGCATTCAACTGTGTGGATCATAACAAATTATGGATAAAATTGCAAAGCATGGGAATTCCAGAGCACTTAATTGTGCTCTTGAGAAACCTATACGTAAATCAAGAGGCAGTCGTTTGAACAGAACAAGAGATACTGCATGGTTTAAAGTCAGGAAAGGTGTGTGCCAGAGTGTATCATTTCACCATAATTATTCAGTCTGTATGCTGAGCAAATAATCTGAGAAGATGGACTATATGAAGAAGAATACAGCATCATGACTGGAGGAAAACTCATTAACAACCTGTGTTATGCAGATGACATAACCTTGCTTGCTGAAAGTGAAGAGGACTTGAAGCACTTACTGATGAAGATCAAAGACCACAGACTTCAGTATGGGTTACACCTCAACATAAAGAAAACAAAAGTCCTCACAACTGAACCAGTAAGCAACATCACAATAAATGGAGAAAAGATTGAAGTTGTCAAAGATTTCATTTTGGACACCCACGGAAGCAGCAGTCAAGAAATCAAACGATGCATTGCACTGGGAAAATCTGCTGCAAAAGAGCTCTATAAAGTGTTAAAAAGCAAAGATGTCACCCTGAAGACTAAGATGTGCCTGACCCAAGCCATGGTGTTTCCAATCGCCTCATATGCATGCGAAAGCTGGACAATGAATACGGAAGACGAAAGAAGAATTGACACCTTTGAATCATGCTGTTGGCGAAGAATACTGAATATACCAGGGACTGCCAAAAGAATGAACAAATCTGTCTTACAAGCTAGAATGCTCCTTAGAAGCAAGGATGGTGAGACCATGTCTCACATACTTTGGACATGTTATCAGGAGGGATTAGTCTCTGGAAAAGGACACAGTGCCTCGTAAACTAGAGGGTCAGTGAAGGAGACCTTCAATGAGATGGACTGACACAGAGGCTGCAATGATGGGCTCAAGCATTGTGAGGATGGTGCAGGACCAGGCAGTGTTTCGTTCCATTGTACATAGGGTTGCTACGAGGCAGAACCAACTCCATGGCACCTAACAACAATAGCAACAGTATATGTTCAATAAGTGGCAATGGCTTAAAACAAAAAAACATTTATTATTTCTCTTGCGCCAGCAGGTTGGGTGGGCAGTTCTGATATGGGCTGGGCTCAGCTGATTTTGACTTGGCTCACTTGTGCATTGGCGATTAGCTGGTGGCTGATCAGCTGGGGGCTACATGATCTAGAATGGCCTTGGGTGACACAGTTGGGCTTTGCTCCATGGGACCCAACAGATGAATGTGGGTCTGCAGGAAAATCAAGATTTGGCAGGTCAGCACTTTATTTGATGGCACCCAGAGATAGCCTAGGAAAGCTACTCCATCAGACAGGTCTACATGAGTACAAAGAAAGATGTTCAGATCTCACATACATTTATATTCTCCTAGAGCAAATACACAACCTTGGAGATAAGTGTCAAAAACCAATGTGGGAGCTCATTTGAGCTTCAGTTTGAAAGGTTGGGATGTATTAGGCTAATGTCTTAGTCTCCTAGGGCAGCCATAACAAAATATCACAAAGTGAGTGGCTTTAAAGAACAGAAATTTATTTTCCTCAGAGTTCTGGAGGCTAGAAGTCCAAATCAGGGTCCCAGCTCTGTTGATTCTGGTGGCTGCTGGTGATCTTTGGCGTTCTTTTGCTGCTTATAGATGCATCTGCCTCCGTCATCACATGGCATCTCTCTCCCTGTGTGTTAGATCCCTTTTTATAAGACATCACTCAGAAGGAATGAGGAATTACGACTCTGATAAGACCATGTGTGATGCAATTGATAAAAAAAGGGAAAACCCTATTTCCCCAAACACGGTCACATTCACAGGTACAGAGGTTGAGACTTCAACATATCTTTTGGGGGAGACACAATTCAACCCATAACAGCGGCACAGGGTAACAGGTAAGAGGATGAAAAGGAGAGGGAAATGAGAGAAGAAGGGAGGACAAGGGGAGGGGAGGCAGAGAAGTCAGAGGGCACCCTGCATCCCAGTGGCCCCTTACACCTCTGTCCCATGCTCTTCCAAAGACCACTTGGTACCCTGAGACCAAGCCATAACTGCCCAGACCCTCTCCCCTCCTTCCACAAACAGGTGAAAAGAAAATTTGGGCAATTAAACACTGATGTGGGAATCCAGGTGGAGCATACCATGCCACCCAGCCTGACATCCCCACCCCCCTAAGTGGATGTGGGGTGGGGTGGGGCGGGGTGGGTTGAGAGTGGGATCCTATGGTAGAGGCAGTCCCCAAAACCCCCCAGGCAAAGAAAACAGCTCTTGAAACTTGCTGGGCATCAAGCACAGGTCATACCGAAACCATTAACTGTGCAGGTAATGTGATGTTCAAGTGTAACTGGATTTTTTAGCTTCAATCTCTCAAATCTCTGCAGGGAAAAAATTGCCTCTGTTTTTTTCCTTATCTGTTCCCGTGTCTGGGTTGCTGGAGTTAGTAGCAAGCTCGACAGTCTAGAATATGTTCTCCATTGTGCTCTTTCTGTGAAGAAAATTACAGCGTGAAAAGGAAAGCGGGGCGGAGAGGAACATTACATTCTAAACAGTCTCAGGGAGATAATTGCAAAGTCTCCTCTGCTCTCTCCCTGCTCCCCCTCCCTCTGTGGCTCCTCTGACTTTTCTTCCTCCTGGAGGATCTGGTGAAGGGCCTGCTGCAGAAACTGCTGCTGCAGCTGACCCCTGTGCCGGTGCTTCCCCGGGCTTGCCGCCTCTTGCTCCTCATCTCCCCGGGCAGCATGGTACCCACCATCACTGCCAACAAGGGAAATTCAGAAGGCTTTGTCTAGGGAAAGATGAGTTGTTTTGTTTGTGTCTTGTTCTCAGTTATTTGGGTTATTCCTTTAAGAAAGCAGCAGCATGCCTTGGCATGATTCGGTTCAGGTGGGTGCCAGCATGTATTGAGTAACTACTTCATTGTTTTGGCATTTCCAAGTACAAAATAATGACCATTTATTGATTCTTTACTCTATGTGCAAAAGCCTGTCAAGCATGTAGATTTCACTGAATCCTCACATCCATCCTGGCAGGTATGTTCTATTTTTACTTGTATATTAGAGATGAGATGTGGGGTCTTGGTGAGTTGAAGTCACCTGTACAAGTTCACAAGCTAATAAGTGGTATTTAAGCCAATAAGCTAAGATTTGAACCTAGTTTTGTCTGAGTTTAGAGCACACATTCCTGACCTCTATGCTGTATGCCTACCCCCAAAAAACTGATAAAAGGAAGTCCTGGTCTTCAAGGTCCTTGGAGTCTTAAGAAGGGAAATAGAAACTTTAAATAAAGATAGTTCTAGGGGAATCAGGAATCAGAGGAAGAAATCTAATGCATGCCTGGCTGCCTCCATGAACAACTGCCTCCTTTGCCATGAGACCAGAAGAACTGGATGGAACCCGGCTATCATTACTGAATACTTTTATTAAAGAGTCTGTAGAAGAATCCTGATCAAAAGGGGGAAATGCCGAACAGAACTTCAAATTCTCAGTGGAATCCAGACTTTCTGAAGCCATTGAGTCTGGATGAACCCCTGAAAATGTTGCCCTGAGACAATCTTTAAACTTTAAATCTTTAATCAAAACTATCCCCTGAAATCTTCTTTGAACCAAAAAATAGCTTATTTTAATTAGTAAAGTATGTATACCTTGAACATTGTGCTCTTTTAAAGAATTATCTATGTGAGACCAAGTTGACAATGGGAAGCCAAGAGAGCAATGAGTTTAAGATAAAGGTGACAGAATAATGTGGAAAACGATAGAAAGAATGGTAGCACAACTTTAAAAATGTAACCAATGTCACTGAATTGCACATGTAGAAATTGTTGAAATGGTGTATCTTTGGCTGTGTATACTGTCACCAAAATAATTGTTTTAAGTGACTCTAGGGGTAGCAGCATAATCTATTTCAGGCCAATGAGATAGAAGCAGGAGAGGCTTCCACAGAGTGGAATGGCTTGCCCAGGGTCGTGTGGTGGTAGATCGAGGTTGGGGGAGGCAATACATACAGTTCTCCAACACAGGTATTTAAAGAATTCTGACAGCCAGGTCCGAATTAGCAGATGCTTGACCTGGTGCTAAAAATGATCATTCTCCCTGCCTCCCTGCACACAGCTTGGAAGAAACTGCTCTACAAATTTAACAATAATAACCTTGGTTTTCTTGTTTTCTTCTTCTTCTTTTAATCTGAGCTCTGGGTTTCCTGAGTCTGTGTGTCCCCATTTGATGGTTGAGGAAAGTGAGGCTCAGAGACATTAATGAGTCACCTGTATCTAAAGGCCAGTGGTCTTTCCTCCACACCAAAAAACCAACCAGTCATCCTTGAGTTGATTTTAACACATGATGACTCCATGTCTATCAGTGTAGAACTGTGCTCCACAGGGTTTTCAATTTTTCAGAAGTAGATCACCAGGCCTTTCTTCCAAGGTGTCTCTGGGTGGACTCAAACCTCCAACCTTTGTTATCATCTTAATGCATTAACCATTTGCACTACCTAGGGACTCCTCCTCCACACCAGTGGTCCTCAAAGTGTGGTCCCTGGACCAGCACTCAGCATCATCTACCAGCTTATGAGAAATGCAGATTCTAAGGGTCTACCTTGGACCTACTGAATCAGAAACTCTGGGGTTGAGGGCTCAGCGATCTGGGTTTTAACGAGCCCTCCGAGTGATTCTAATGCACACTAAAGATCGTGAACCACTGCTCTACCATGTTTGGTAATTGACAGTTAATAACAAAATCCAGTTGCAAAGCCATACATTTTAAACTTTTGTTGCTTCAAATTAGCGGATGTTCTGCAAGCAATCTTATTTTGACCTTGGAGAAAGCAGTTGGAAAAGTGAAACGCCAACAAACTTTTAGAAATCTAATCAGCCGTGCAACTTGTGATATGCTGGCATTTGGCACCTGGAACAAAACAGCAGGTTGCTGCATTAAGTATAAGGTGTGGGTGGAGAGGAATGTCCAAGTTCTCATCTCTTTCTTCTTGTGTTGTGCCCAGCTGGGGCTGAACTAAGTGGAGTCCTCACCAGGTGACAACTGACGAGGTACGACAAACTGTGTGCTAGATGCTCTCGTTCAAGGTCCTCATTGTACTGATGAGAAATCGTGCCCAGCTTCCACCAGAGTGAAGTGACTTGCCCAAGGTCAGCTGGCTGCAGCATAAGTTGGGAAAGGCACTCTGCATGGTTCTTTCCAGAGCAGATATTTAATGAATTCCAACTGCCAAGCGACTTTAATAGATGCCTAAACCAGTGCTTAACATGGCCACTCTTCCTGCCTCCCTACAATCATTATCATGCAGTTTGGAAGAAATGCCACAAAAATCAAAGAATAACCTTGGTGTGTTTTGTCTCCTTTTTTTTGGTTTTGGCACTTTGGGTTTGTTGGTTTTTTTTTTTTTTTTTTAATGTTTTCAAGATTTCTCTGCGGTAAAGTAATAATATTATAAAAGTACTTACATAATTCCTTCACTTTTCAAAGCAAATAAAAGCCAAGCAACGTCCAGTCAACCAGCATGGAAACATTCAGTGGCAGCCTCACAGCTCTCTCTCCTTTTGTACCTGGGCTTCCTGAGAGGGTTGACCCCTCTCCTTGGCTGCACCTGCCTCTCCACACTCTGTTGGGGTTTCTGCTCCACATCACTGCCATGTCTCTGCCAGAGGTCACCAACAGCCCCATTGTTTGACCATTTGCTGATCATGGACCTTTCTCTTGCTGTGACTCTTGTGTTTCTCCTTTTTCTTTCACTAATCCTTCTCTTTCTCCTCCTAGAATCCACATCCTCTGCCTGGCCCCCAAACACTGATCTCTAAACTCTCTGGACTTCTCTCCATTCATGCTCTTCTGGATGATTCCATCGGAGTATATGAATAATTCAAATATATATCTATCCCACTTTGACTTCTCTTTTGAGTCTCAGACTGGAATATCTAACTCCTTGTGAGACTTCTCTCATAAGCATTTCAAACCCCAGATGGCCCAAACTGAATTCATCTCCACCCCTCCAAAAACCTACCCATTCCATACTCGACTCAGTATATGGCATCCCCCACTACCCAGTTACTTGACCCAGAAATTAAGGAGTCCTTGTTGATCCTCCCAGTTCTCAGAAGCATCACCCCCACGGAGTGCAGCAACACACACATACACACCCACACACATACCCATATGCACTCAAAGACCACACCCCACACCCCCCCATCCTCTCCTCTCTGACCCTCTTACACCACCAATTGAGCTCAGACTCTCAACATTGTTCACCTGACTATTGGGAGACTTTCCTGTCGTCCCGTGCTCCAGCCTTGGCCCATTTAAAGCCAATCTCCGTGTTATAGCCAGAAGAATTTCTCTAAAATTCCACATTTCCCCTCACTTTGTACATTTCCACCTCTCCTATTGCCTGTAGCATAAAGTCCAAGCTCTTAAGGCTTGGCCAACAAAGTCCTCCTTGACCTTGTCCCCAGAGTCCCTTCACCAGTTTTCATGAGAAGTCTTCCACCAATGAACAATTTGATATTTTCAAATAGTTTAGTAAATTCTGGGGACAATTTATATCAATAGAAAACTATCAACTAAAAAAATACTAATAAATCTTAGTGAAATGTGATTTCTGATTAGAGATCTGGGACACATCATTTAGTCATACCAGACCATCTAACCCCTCTGAACCCACAGCATTTAATTTAACAAAATGGCATTGGGAAGAGAGTGTACTTAAGTATAAGAAAGAATCAGGAAACCGTTTATACACTGATATGGATGTGTGATTATTTAACCAGCCCTGTATTGATGGGAATGAAAACAACTGTCAATCTTACATTACTAAGATACCAGTCTGTCTGCCTTAGGGAGAATGTTAGAAGAGAGGTGAAAGAGGAGCTGGGAAGACCAGTTAAGGAGTGACAGACCAGCTAAGAAAAGGTTCGTGGCAATAAAGATGGATAAGAGAGATATTTAAAGACCTCGAGGCCCTGGCCTTAAGGAGCTTCACCTTGGGAGAAGTACAACCAAACTAATGGCTTCAAAGCATATATTCATTTGGCATGCGTTCATTGTTCAGACAATACAGTGCTGAACAGACACATGGCCAGTTCCTGCCCTCATGGGTGAGGACTCCAAGGAGTGCTAATCCAGCCTGGGACAGGGATGAGAGATGTCAATAAGACATGCAATAAGCAGTGGTCACAGAAGTAGGGGAACCCCGGGATCCCTGGTTCTCCAAGTGTGGTCTCTGGTCAGCATCGGCGTCACCTGGCAATTTGCTGTTGTTACATGCACAATGGAACGAAATGCTGCCCAGTCAGCCTCATGAATAGTTGAGGATCAGACCATTGTGATCCAAGGGCTTTTTACTGGTGATTTTCGAAAGTAGATTGCTGCTATTTCTTCCTAGTCCATTGTAGTCTGGAGGCTCCACTGAAACCTGCTCAGCATCAAGATGGACAAGTGGTGGCTGCGCTGAAGGTACATTGCCTGAGAATTGGACCGTGTCTCCCACATGGAAGGTGAAAATTCTACCAATGAACTACCAATGTCCCTGGGTACCTGTTAGACATGCACAGTCTTAGACCCCACCACGGAACTCCTGAATGAAAACTCTGCAGGTGGGTGAGGCCAACCCTTTGGGTGATCCTGACAGAGTTACAGTTCGGGAGCCACACCTAGAAACCTAAAAGATGCAGGAGTAACTTTCCCTGGCTTGTGATGGCCTGCAAAGGCTTAAGACAGGAAGTGACTTATGAACCTGGCCTTCAAAGGAGAGTTCGCCAGGAGGACAAGGAGCTGGTGGAGAACATTCCAGGAATTCCAGGTGTTTGCTCTCTAGAGCCAGCCTGCAGTTCCTCCATCTTCATACTTTCTTAATGAATTTACAAGCAAATCAGGGGGAAATGACATGTGCACAAGGTTATTCATTGCATTTTTGCAAACAATTTAAATGTCCATCAGCAGAAAACTTGTTGAATAAACTCTGATTCTTGTACATGAATGAGTGCTTTGCCTCAGTTTAGGAAAGAGGTCTACTTCAAGATCTATGCAGAATACGATGCTAAGTCAAAAAAGTATAAATAATCATAGCTCCCTGGGTAGCACAAATGGTTTGCTCTCAGTTACTGATGGAAAGGTTGGCAGTTCAAACCCACCCAGGGGTGCCACAAAAGAAAGGCCTGGTGATCTGCTTCCATAAAAATTGTTGT